TGTGCTGAGTCCTGCTCTACTTCCCTGGGTATCTTCAGACCCCTGTGGTCCTGTCCTGTGGCCCCTCGGCACTCCCTATTGACTCCTGCTGCCTTATGGCTCTGAGAACCCCTGGGTCCCTGAGTCGTTCCCCAGTGCCCTGGCACCCGTGGTCCTGCTGAGTCCTGTTGTCCCATTTGCTCGTCTGCCCCTGCTGCTCCTGGCGTGACCCCCTGCCAGTGCCCACCACAGGTGTTTGTGCGACGAGGGGGCACAATGAGCAGTGGTGATGACTGCACTGGAACAGCCCGACCCGCGTGCCCATCTGCCGGGCATGTGCCCGTGGGCTGGGAGCGCAAGGTGGAGGAGGGCTCCGTGTGCTACATCAGGTAGGAGCAGTCATCGATCCCCCTAAACCCCCCTCCTTGGCCCCTGCTCACCATCTATGCCCTCCAGCCCCAGCGGCACCACACTGACCTCACTGGAGCAGACTTGTGCCTACCTGCTGGCCGACGGGACCTGCAAGTGTGGCCTTGAGTGCCCTCTCAACATGTACAAGGTGTGGGGGGGATCAAGTGTGGGACAGGGAGGGGCAGTTGCGGGGGGCTGCACTGCGGGCACTCCCCGGACACAGAGGGCTTGCAAGGGATGGCCCTGGCTGCAGGAAGAGGGGATGCGGCTGCCCTGTGCTGGGAGGCTCTGGAGTTCCCTGTGGGGTGGCTGGTCGCCACTCTCAGCCTGCCCTGTTGCTGTAGGTGTTTAACTTTGACCCGGGGGCAGCAGTGGCTGAGCGAGGGGCCCCTGGGGCCCAGGGCCAGCAGGACATGACCAAGCTCTGCAATCACCGCTGGAAAACAACGACCATGGCCACAGTGTACTGCAGCACGGAGGGCACCCCAGGCCCCTGCTGCCCAGGCACAGGTACTGGGGTCCCCTGTCCACGCTAGTCCCTGGCCTGCCCTCCCCCAAGTTCCCACTGGTGTACCCACCTTGTCCATGTCACACCATACATCTGGTGATGCCTGTCCAGTCCCAGACCCTTCCTGTCTCCCTTGTATGCCCTGGGGTCTTGCCACACATCCCATTCCCCTCGATGCCCTCCTGGTTTCCCCACATTTCCCAGGACTTCCCTGTCTTCTCTGTAACATCCTGCTCTCTGTTTTCTCCTGTCCTCCGCCTTCCCAATCCATCCCAGTTTAAGAATAGGGGTGCCCAGAACCTGCTGGTACCCGCTTGACTCCTGTATCCCTGTGGTTCCCCACAGGTCTTGGCCTGAGCCCGCTGTTCTCAGCAGAGGGGCACCTGGCCATGGCCCCCAGCACCGGCATCCCCCCACCCAGCACTGTCGGCAGCTTCCCTATGGTCCCTCTGGGGGCGAAGACCCTGGAGGCCACAACTACCCCCACGGGGACCTGGCTCATCACCCTACCCTTTCTGCAGTCCCACGACATCATTCCCAGGGCCAACAGCAGCCCCAAGAGCCACCCACCTGCCAGCCCCTGCTTTGGCCTCCACTTGTCCCCACCAGATGCAGCAACTCTCCCCAGATCCCCTGAGGTTCACAGGGGGGCCCCCAGAGGCAGCACCCTGCAGGCAGGACTAGCAGCTGGGCAGCCAAGTCACAGGGGGCAACTGGAGAAAGCCCAGAGCTGAAGGGGTCAGGGCCATGCCTGCATGCTAACACCAGTGACCCCCAGGCAGGCAACGTCAATTTTTTTTTTCAGCGTTGCCTTAACCAGCCAAAGCAGCAATAACCCACCAGTGCCCTTAGATGCTGTCCCTGAGGGCAGGGGGTTTTTGGGGCTGCCGCCAGCAAGCACCCCCTTCCCCACCAGCACCGTTCTGAGCTTGCCCAGTTGGGCCGTCCTGACCCTTTGTCCTCCCTGAGCACTTTACCCCCCTGCCCGCTGCCTCCCACCATGGGAGGCAGTGGGGCCCAGTGTCCCTGGTGCCCTGACCCCCAGGACCCAGCAGCTCACAGGGTGCCCACCAAGGCCAAAAGGATGCACCCCCCAGTGACTAGGCAGTCTCTCAGGGCCCTGCTGAGCCTCCTGGGTACTCAGGGCTGCCCTGGGGAGGGAGGCCCTGGGGGGCCCAGCCTCCCCTTGGGCCCCCTGCCTGCCACCGGTGGCTCACCCTGCCTTGGCACTGTGCTCCTGCCCATCGTCTGGGACTTCAGCGAGCGGTTCCTGGGTCTCTTCGGGCTTCTGGCAGCATCTTCTGAATCCATCTCAGGGGCCTCCCCACAGTCAAAAGTCTCTGGCCATAATGGCAGCCCAGGTATGTGGAGCAGTGCCATGGGGCCAGGTCCCTCAATTGACCAGGGATGGACCCCACCCTGGGGTGGCTGCAGCAGTGGTGCTGGGGGTGTTTCTGCCCCGGGGGAGCCCCTTGTGGCTGTGGGGCTAGGTCGGAGGCAATGGGACCCAGTGGGATGTGGCTGTGGGTCTGTGCTGCAGGTGGTGGGACCTGGTAGGATGTGACCATGGATCTCATGGGATGTGGTGGGACCCACTAGGATATGGCCATAGGTTCATGCTGGGGGTGGTGGGACGTAGCTGTGGGTCTTGTGAGATGCAGTGGGACCCAGTGGGTCCTTGCCATGGGTTCATTCTGGTGGTTGGTGGGATGTGGCTGGGGGTCTGGTGGGATGTGGTGGCTTGTGTCCCTGGACCTGCAGCAGATGTGGCCATGACAGCCCCATGCTCTGACCCATCCCCTGCAGGTGCTGCAGCTTCTCCAGGTGTCCCCAAAGGCCCTGTGGCCCCAGGGGCTGGCAGTAATGGGGAGGAGGGTGCCGGGCAGGCACTGGACTGCCCGCTGCCCCCTGCCACCC